TGTGCCTCCTCCACAGGTTGTTGCAGTTCCTTTGTTTCAAACGGCAATATCCGCTCCTATGCCTCCTGCAGACAGTCCAGCTGCCTGCAGGCAGCCACGGTACCCTGCAGCATTAGATATTCACGACTCACCTGTACAACACGATGTGGTCCCTGCCCAGAGTACACTCCCGACTCCAGGTACAGTCCCTACTCAGAATGCAGCCGCCGCCCAGAGTACACTCCCGACTCCAGGTACAGTCCCTACTCAGGATGCAGCCCTAAATGTTGAGGGATTGGAACATGATCTACCCGGATTGCAGTTGGCCCCACAGAGCGTAGATCACATGGGGGATCTGCAAATGGCTGACCAGCATTGTTCGGATGAACCACAAATTTGTGTTCCGCCATGCGCAGACCACATGGGTGATCTGCAAATGACTGACCAGCAAACAACCCAACACAGGCTTGCAACACCATCTGGGTGATCTGCAAATTGTTGGCCAGCATCCAACAAACCAGCCTGAGAACCTCACCAATCTCTGTGGTCTGACGGCAACTAATATCTGTCTTCACATTCTCCACCACCCGTTTTATACACCATTAGACTTCCTTGCAATCACCCTTCAGCTTGATGCTGATCTTCCCCAATTGCAGCCAGAGGATTGTAATTATACCAGCGAAGGAGGCTTTACCATTGCTACCCTACAACTAGCAATGAGGGACCGTCAACTTGAACTACGCAATGCTCGAGCAGGTGAGTTGTTTAATCCTCCATCCCACATCTCTGCTTGCATTGTGCATGGCCCTGGCCATTACATGGCCATCGTACATGCCTCTGACCACTGGGAGCTGTGGGACAACCGCACCATGGTCCATGCCATGATTGATGTCACTGATTTCTTACAAAATGATGCTGTTTTCTTGCCACAACAAACCGTCAGCAATCTCTTTTCTGTCGAAGATCAGTCCTCTGGCCCCGTGCTGCAGCAAGACAATGTACCAACACTCTGCTACCTTCTCCTTTCCACAGCCACAAACACTGTTACACTCGGCTGTAGCCACCATCGTCTCTGTCACAATCACTACAATGACATGGTTTCTGCATCCATGTGTGCAGAGGACTGTCCCACCATTCCCAACTGCAGGCACCCTCTGCATCCGGACACTATATGTCCATTTTGCGGCCATGGGCGCTATACTGAATGCATGCTCTTTTGTGGTGACCGTTCTTCCTTCATTTTGGCCTGCAATCGACATGCCATTTGTTGGGGGTGTATGGTGGGCATGCTCAATGCCACCCGTCGTGGCAATTGTTGCACTGAGAATGCTCAGCTAGGTCTTCCATGTGTTCATCCACCTCATCCTTACAATGTACGTCCTCTCTGTCGTCAAGGACAGACTCATTCTTGAGCCTTTTCTTATCCTCTTTTGCCTTCATCTTCACTCCACACTCCATACTTTCCCTTACTTTCCATTTATCGTTCTTTGTTTGTCTGGCTCTCCATCTCTCCTCCCTGTGTTTATCCCCTCCCCCTTCACTCTGCCTCTTTCTCACAGCGTACAAGTGGGCTGTTATGGCACACATGGATGGGGGCAGCTCACGCTCAACTTCATCAATGTGGCGAGCCTTGTACGTGACAGGCACGGTGAAGGGGGAGTCAAAAGAAGAATGAGAAAAATGAATGGTTTCAGTGTGCCCTTCATGTTTGTCTTGTTTTTTTTATTTTTTTATTTTTGCCATTTGTTTCTCAAAGTGCGCTCTTTTAGTTCATAGTTATGTGACAATAAACAGTTTGTCACAGCCCGTCGTTTGTTGACCTCTTCTCCCTCTCTGCCTATGGTTTACCGGGCAGCTCTGTTTGACGAGAGAGAGAGAGAGAGAGAGAGAGAGAGAGAGAGAGAGAGAGAGAGAGAGAGAGAGAGAGAGAGA